ATGACAAAAGACCCCAGCATCTCCTCGCTTTCAGGCAGCCGACATTTTCTTGCAGAAACGCTGAGCCTGCTGGATTCTGCTGTGAGTTTCCGTGTTCACAGGAAGACGAGGAAATGCCATGTCTGCGTGTGTTTTGAGTCTTGTGTAATTGCAAGAGTCATCCCAAAACTGCGGATGCCTGAGCGCTATCTGAAGGAAGCACCATTCGTCCCTCCTTGATCCCTGTAGGAAATGCTGCCCTGCTTTGGGAGCGATAGAGGTGAACGTGGAAAGGGTGGACAACCATATCCTTCCGCAATATGGAGGCCACCCGGTCTTTGTACTTTGCATTTCGTCCTTTTGTGTTGGACTAAACCACTAAATAAATGTGTTTCACAAAAGAATTTGAAACATCAAAGTTTTGTACTCCAGTAGCGGAAGCTTTGAATGGGAAGGGGTGAACTCACAAGCACAAAAACAGGTCTATTAAAGGAATAATTCATACAAATATTTAACATACCCTTAAGGCTAATTTATACTTCTGCGTCAATTGCAAGTGTATGGTCCACGCAGCCTTTGTGCGGTCGCATAGCGCTCAACCTGGCTGACGGCGATGAACATATATCAAAAAATGTAACTATACGTTGCAATAACGAGTGGCACAAGCTCTGTGATTGGTCAGCTTGGTAGCAGTGACGAGCATGGGCGGCGCTGAGAGCCACGAGCCTGATTGAGTGATTGTTTATAAGTGCTGAGTCTAGGCATGGGCCGGTATAAGATTCTAAGGTGTTTTAGGGCATATTTTCTGCTGGAGATACTGTTATCCTAAAAAAACGTAAATTAAACAAATCTTACAAATACCATAGGAATGGTAGTACAGAACGATGGTTTTAAAATCTTGACTTTTTTCAAACCGCGGTATACCTTGAAAACGATTATCGTCCCATGCCTAGTCGAGTGCCGTGAAGGAGCTTCAGATGTAAACTTTTATTTTGTGTTTAACTTATGATTAAAGTTGTTGTGCGTCTGCCTGTAAATGAGTGAGTTTTAGCTACTTGTAGGCTGTGTCTGAAATCGCTTCCATACTATATAGTATGTCAAAAACAATATGGGAGCTGAGTAGTATGTCTGAATTCATAGAATTCGAAAAAAAAAAGAAGGCGAGAAGTACCCAGATGATCTTCTACTTCGGCACAGTACGTCCGAGATCCATTCATACTACTCACATTTATACTACATTGAACATACTTTTCTAGCGGTTGAGTTGTAAATTCAAATTTAAATGCATTAGCTACTGAGTAGCGATTTTAGACAAACCCGTAGTGTTCAGACAAAACAAAACCCCCACGAAGAACCTCGACACAGAGGAACATAAAAACCTGTCAGCTAACGTTTACGGAAGTGTTATTGCAGAGCAACACAAACAGCACGCAGAAGTATAAATCCATGACGACGCACACGGCAGGCACTGTGGGTAACACTGATTACTCGACGCAAAGAATAAATCAGTCTTTAGACCAATTTAAGATATTTTTTATATAATAGACCATTAATTATGAATTTTAGCTGAAAGAGTAGTTCTTTGGGCTTAATATAATGGAAGTAAATAGTTATACGCACTTTGAGAGTCAAAGAAAAACATACAGACAACACAAAATGAATACAGATTGCTTATGACTGAGGTCTCATGAAGTGAAAAATAATTTGTGAAAGAATACTCTAATCTTAAAAAGATTTTGTATTAAAAAGGTTTATACAAGCATTTTATCCTGTATAATTGTACCCAGCAAGCATTTTTTGTTTTTAAAAGATGTCTAATAGACGTCTAAACACAGTCATCTTGGCTAAAACAAAGCTAAAGTTGGGCTGTCAGTGAAAATCTAATAGACATCAAATAAACAGAAATGAACGACTACACATATAAAGTCTTTCTAATCTGTCTATTTTAGGACTAGTCTAATTTTGGGCTATTCTTAGACGTCTATTAGATTTTCACTGCTAGCCCAACTTTAGCCTTGTGTTAGCCAAGCTGTTCATGTTTAGATGTCTATTAGACATCTATTAAACACAGAATTGTTTGTTGGGTATTGGAGTTTCAATATATGCATATGTAAGATATTAACACGAGTAAACAATGTGCAATTTTGTACTGATCGACCCCAACCTCTCAGTCCATCAGACAAAGGGAAGGTTAAAATTAGCTGCGGTGATTTCAACAGACAAGAAAAGCTTTAAGTACTCTTGATTTGATTGAGCGTCCTTCAGTATTGTTTTTAATATTACCTTAATTCAGAACATGTGATATAACCACACTTCGGTAATTATTCAAAGCATCTGGTGAAATTGTTTTTATTTTTTCCAATTTCATCCAAGCCCTAGAACAAATTCTTATTGTTTTCAACTATAAGAATAATGGAATGTACATGTGCAAGTGAATTAGGCGTTCATCATAGCATTAGTGTCCTGTTCCACCTCTATTGTTGGTCATTAACTATTCAGCTCCTTTCATCAAACCGCACACACACACTCTCTCACACACACTAATAATGATATTGCATTACAGGTATTGATCTACACCATTTGCTCTACGCCCCTGTCACCCGACTCCTCGGACGCAGTCCCAAAACGAACTTCTCTCCCCACTTTTCTCCCCTCATCTCTTTGTCCATATTGGACTGTATTATTAATTTTCAAATGTAAAAATTAAATCACGACAACAGTTATTAGTAATATATTACAGATATTATAGTTTAGTTGAAATCTGCAACATTGTTTGCCCCCTTATCTTCATTTTGTGAGGCACAAATGCTCATTTTGGTTAGATTGTTACTCCAGGCTTTTAATTTTAAAAGGAGCTGTGCTTTGTTTACGTACAGTATAACATATATGTACAATCAAATAGGTTATGTAATAACTACAGTCTCTGTTCCTGTAATTGCAGTGTTGAATGTCGTTTGTCCTAGCATGCATTCTGACGTCAACTCCAGATTTGGATGAATTTGTAATATACAGTCATATTCCTGCGTGGACATGCCAGTATTGTCGCTCCCTATCAGTTTAATAATAGAGGAGTTCTCTGTTAAGTAACAGGGTGGATATGTTTTGAGTTCTTGGTAATCGTAACTGCTGTTGCCAAGTAACTGCTGCACTTTGTGCACTCTTTGTGGGTAAAATAGTTATTTGCATGAGACAATTGGATAATTAGGCTTTTTTCAAGATCATTGTCTGGCATTCTTATAGGTAAATAGTACCAACAGTACTAATCTACTCCTGAGCATACACATAAGATCAGTATATGAACTTGCTATACGGCTTACTTTGTGCTCTCTCCACACACTCACCTTCCTCTCGCTTCAATAACACTGAAAGTCAAGTGGAGTTCACTTCTATATGTAGCACTGTCTATTTCAACACAAAGAGCTTTACATCCCCTGCACTTGAAGTTACCTAAAAGGGTTTTCGATTTCCAGCCTGATGCCATACTGCTGGAGAACCTTTTAATGCTGTATTCAATTGCATCACAAAAAAACAAGAGTGCTGTTTTATGGTTGTTAGCACAATCAAATGTGTTTTAGGTTGTTCTGGGTTACTGTAGATTCATTGCTTTGTGGCTGCCAGGCAATGTTATAACATAGCTAATGTGCTCTGGTTGGTTGTAAGCATGTTCCTATGTTTTTGTATGGATCTTGGTTTGTAGGGTGTTTTCACTGGCTGTTGCTTGGGAGTTGCAGTTGTTTAACCCCTCTAGTTCCACTCCACTTGCGCTAGGCAGATGGAAGCACTAAAAAGGACAGTGCAAACCACAGCCCCAAAACTTGGTAGCTAGTGTGCCTCTTGAGTACTGGGGAGTAAGGTTCACACAGCCCCTAAAATCTCTCTCCTATCCAGATTTTACTTGCATTAATTGTAGCGAGATTTGAACCAGCTTCTCCAGCATGAGAGGTAGATGTATTGACAATGAATGATTTTAACATTTTAGCCTCTTGTGTCAATTGTTAGGGTGTTTCTAGAGGGGTTTACCCAGATATCTCCTAGCTGGTCTTCATTACACTCGCCCCACAATCATTACTCCCATCCGGGTCACGGCACCAACGTAACCCTTCTGTTTCCATGTACACCACCTTCAAGTAGAATTAAGTCCTGCGTCTTTGATGTGGGAGTTAAGGAAGTAAGATGGATGCTTATAACCACAGCCTTTAGCATCAGTTGCTAATGTCCTTCCAGGGGAGTGAGGTGTACTGGCACAGGTCTTACTATCTGGCCTCTGTTACAATTGCACCCAAATCTCACTGCAATCTGGGTCACAGCACCAATGTAACCCCTTGGGTTCTACTTGTAATACACAAAGTGACCTGGGAGGTTGCCGTTTTAGAAGCTTCCTAAAAACTATGGTCTCTAGGGTCAGTTGTTAGCATGCGTTTGAGGCCATGAATGTAAGGTGTACCGGCAAAGCTACCTGGTCTGTGTTACAATTACTCTCCACGCATGGGAGATGGGTGTATGGACAATAAATGATTTCAAAAGCTTTAGCCTCTAGTGTTAGTTGTTAGAGTGTCCCTAGAGGCTAGGGAAGTCCAGTTTACATACATATCTCCTAGCTGGTCTTCATTACACTTATTAGAGTCTCTAGGGTCAGTTGTTGCCTCTTGAGGACATGGAAGGTGTACTAGCAAAGCTAGCTGGTCTCTGTTACATTTACCCTCCACGCCAAACCTTCCTCGCATTAAAGGCAAGGCACCATGTAACTGCTCCAATTCAACCCACAGGATGCAAATGAACTAGCATGAGAAGTGGTCGAGGGAGTAAAGTTTATTCACACAGGTTCCTGTTACCCTATGTGATTGCTTATCAGGTTTTCAGCTTGGTGCTGCATGGTTACTAACAGTTGCTAGAGTGTTTAAGTGTGTTGCTGTGCGGTTGTGACTTTCAGGATGATTGCATCCTGGTTAAATTAATCTTGACTTAGCATGCACTGTTAATAAGACTCTTTGCTGACTGTCATTTTCTCTCGTTTTTCACAGGTGATGTCTCAGTAGAACTCCAGTTTCATTGAGCTCCCTCTGGTAAGAGAGCCTATCCCAGCAACTGTACTTCCACTGCTTGATCCAAAATGGCTGCCACCAAAAGCGGTTACGAGGGCAAGATAGCTGGTCTATATGACCTGGACCGAACACTGGGCAAAGGCCATTTTGCCGTAGTCAAACTAGCTCGTCATGTATTCACAGGCCAATTAGTAGCAGTCAAAGTCATCGACAAGACAAAGCTTGATGACTTAGCGACTGGCCACTTGCTTCAAGAAGTTCGCTGCATGAAACTCGTCCAGCACCCCAATGTAGTGCGACTCTATGAGGTCATCGATACACAAACCAAGCTCTACCTCATCCTAGAGTTGGGCGACGGAGGTGATATGTACGATTACATCTTGCGTCATGAAGGAGGTGTGGCCGAAGACACTGCAAAAGTGCACTTTGCACAGATCGTACGAGCAATTGCCTACTGCCATCGTCTCCACGTTGTCCACAGGGATCTAAAGCCGGAGAATGTTGTGTTCTTCAGGCAGCAGGGGACGGTGAAACTGACAGATTTCGGCTTCAGTAACCACTTTAAGCCTGGGACCATGTTGATGACCAGCTGTGGTTCGCTGGCATACTCAGCTCCAGAAATACTGCTAGGTGAAGAATACGACGCTCCTGCAGTCGGTAAGTGATTGATTTCCATGTAACAATTTTTCTTCTCTTCGTCTTTCTCCAAGTGTGTCGTTTTAAACAGGAGGTCAATCAGACCTCAACCCATGCTAAATACGATCCTGGCAGACTCTTTAATTTACATCCACTGCAGTCAAACTAATCTGGCAAGGGATTAAACGGCAATGGCGCATGAGCTTGTGTTCTAACTCTGTGTCTGTGTCACAAGAATGGCGAACAATCTAGCAGTTGATCCTCGCTCCTCTCTTCACGTGCCTGTACTGTTTACTCGCTGCTTTTGCTAAGGGGAAATCTTCTCCTGAATGAACAGAACATCTGTGCTCTTGCAAAGGGTCAGGCAAGGAGATTTGTGTCAGGTCAGGCCTAAGCATGACTCACTGAACTGAATTCAGAACCCCTGCAGCAAGTTAGAGTTGAATATCCTGTAAATTAAGGATGGTAAAAGAAAAATGCTTTCATTTTGACAACAATAGCCATTAAAAGCTTTGCATCCAACCTCAGTGTTGTATAAAATGTTTTTTCTGCCTGTGGTGTATTTTTCTGTTGTGTCAGGCAGTGTTTTGGTCTGGGACTTTATCGGATGTGCTGTAATGTTGTGTCTTTGAAAATTGTGTAGACGATGAATGTGACTAGCCATGAACTCGCGGTTGTTCAATCTATCATCCATTCTTTTGTTCAAGCACGGTCACCTTATTAAACTCTGGAGACTCGATGAACGACCAAAAAAAAGAGGGGAAATGAAAAGAAAGCAGATTTAGAGGGGGGGGGGAGATCAGGACAAGCAGAGACAGACTTTAGAGGACACTTGAGCTTAACGTTGACTCAGACAGGAGGATGAAGAGTAACTGTGATGACAGCCGATCATTCTGTCTCTCTGTCTTTTTCTTGTTATGGTCTTGTTCCAGTTCAGTAGAGCTTTCTAGAGCACAAGCTTTCAAATACAGTATGCGCTGTTCCGATCCCCTGCTCTGAGATTCAAAGATTCAAATAAATCCAAAGACTCTAAGGTTAAGAAAAATAACAGATTTTAGGATTCAAAAGATTAAATGTCAAAATTAAAGTTCATTGTTTCAAATATTCAAAAACTAATTTTCATATATTCCAAAGATTGTAATGCTTTAAATATTGCATTCAAAAAGGGATTAAAAGGTCTGAAAAATGCATAGATTAATTAAAACAATTATAGATTCACATATGCTAAAGTTTTAAAGATTCAAAATCGATTCATAGATTCTAATATATTAAAGGGCACCTATGATGATAATCATCTTTTGGAAGCTGTTTGGACAGGACTGTGTTGGTATAGTGTGTTTACAGTCTTATTGGGGTGATATAAAGACAATAAGTCTCTTTTTTTAATTTCCTGATGTTAAAATAAGATCCAAATTTCTCCCATTTTGAGGCCCACCACAATGTGACGTAGGGGAATGGTTTTCCTGCCCACAGGATTGATTGACAGACCCTTATTAACATGTCTCCGTAGTCACGCTTATAAACATATTAACAAGACAGGACATGCGCAAGGCAACTGAGGTTAAAAGATCTGTTCAGCGCTCTGTGATCATCAACCTTTATTAAGAATGAGTTTTAAAAGTTTAAAACCTTTTTTTTAAAGTGCATGCTTGTAATGAATTACAGTGATTTACATCAGCTTTACTTGATCACCACAGCTTCATGTCAGTACAATTATAAAAGAAAACGTTTCAGTCCGGTTTGTGGTTTATTTTGTATGTAATTGTATCGAATATCCATACAGCAGTGGATATTACCATGTATGCGGTCACATTTGACGTGTGTGTGCGGGAACTTTGTAACAACATTGTGTGTGACTCATCGTTGCAGAAAGGCTTGAATTAACTCCACAACAAATACATCAAATAATCATTGGGAAAGTTCTTACTGTAGTATTTCTCACAGATCTGACAAAGATCTGCTTCCTTCATGTCTGTCACTGTGCTGTTTATCTGACATGGCCGAGGCAGAGATTGAGGCACACTCTGACAGGCACGTGGGAACGGTGGGCAGGGAGAACTAGCATTAAAGGCACAGGCCACAAAAACAGCTTCATACTGTTCAGAGCAGAAAATCTAATTTTCGGAAAGGTATAATAAGTACTCTGATGGGTGTTTTGAGCTGAAACTTTACATAACCATTTAGGAGACACAAAAGACTAATCTTGAAAAGGGGGGTAAAATACCTGCCTTTTAATTTGAAGATTTGTTTCTGAAGATTCATAGATTAAAAATAGTCATGCTTTATAGATTCAGAATGACTCAAAGTACTTAAACATTCAACAAGGAGTTTCAAAGAATGACATGGAAAGCTACATAATTTCAACACTCATTGTTTTAAAAATGAATCATCCATTCAATGGGATTGTCATTTATCTAAGTAAATAATTTGGTTGGTTTTGGCTTCCTGACCCTGCTCTGATGTGTTTTTTTCAGGATGGAATCACACAGCTCATGTTCTTTTTCAAAAATAGTTGGAAGGAATGCAGTGAAATGGAACAGAAAGTGGAGACGCTATTAGGAAGTTAAACTATTTTTAACTTGACACACTGTCTTAAAAACCCATCGCTCATGACGACAGAAGAAAAAAACTGTCGCAACACTGGGGACTTATAGTAAAGCAGCCAGGAGAAGCAGATTTAGAGATGCATTCAGTGCAAGAGACAGACTTTAGAGGACACTTGAGCTTAAAATCATGACACAGACAGGAGGATGAAGAGTAACAGAACTGATGCTGAACCAGTCTATGTCTTTCTCTCTTTTTCCAGTTCACTACATCTTTCTAGAGCACAGATGTGTTTGCTTCCGCTGCTCTGCTCTCTCGTTTTAATATCATATTTGTCTGATATTTTCCGTCAGAGCCCCATGTGATGAGAGGACAGTAATTTGCACCGAGGCTGCATGTGCCAGGATTAGATCCGCACAAAGTGGGTCAGTCTCCACCGAGACCTAGCAAACCGTGCTATACTCGCACACATACTCGCTAAGATGCTAGAGGCATTTGAACCTGAGGTGCTTGTCTCACTCTTTCCAAACAAAATCTACCCATGGTAGAACTAGAGCAGATAAGGAGCGAGTAGTCAAGTGTTACTGATGTTTAACTTACTGGGTCAGTCAGAATGAACAGTAAACAGTAAAAAGAGCAGAGCTTTAGCTTAGCGGTTAGCATATTTACATGAACATGATTTGTTATTTAGGTAACAGAAGCTTATCACATTTTCTGTGTTTAATTATATTCTGTATAATTCAAAATTTTTGAAGATGAGGGAATGTCAGGCGACGTGTCTGTGTTAGCATGTTTGTAATTAGTTTTTTTGATGCATTTGCATTAAAATAGTATAAGAATCGTAATTTTTTCATAAAGTAGCTAATTTAGAGCTGTTTAACTCACTGACTGGGTCGGTAAAAATAAACAGTAAACACAAATACAGCGGGGAAAATAAGGATAGAACAAGTCATGTTTTTTTCCTGGGAATAATATTTCTAAATGAGAATTAAACCAGATTTCAAACCATGAATTAAACCATAGAATTAAACCAGATTATGGTAAAAAAAATATATATAAAAGCTTTATAAATGATAGTTTATCTCTGCATCACTAGTCTTGCCCGTTGGCTGACCCTGTGGTCTGCTGCCTGCTAGTTTAATCGGCTCCTGGAGTTTGCCGGGCACTGGCTGGCATCTGTAACTTTATCTGGAAAGCTTTCCTGTCTAGCAGTTTCAGGTCAAGCTGATGCCATTAACCTCAATAGCTGGTAAGAGATGGCGACTGGAAACACTACAAAACTGATATACTGTATGATGTGTGAACGTGCGAATGGAGAAAGGGTTAGTGACGGGGTCAGTCTTTTTTTATTGTGTGTGTGTGGACATCTGAATATTCATTAGCTTTTGTGAGGGGTTTTATTCATAGTCGTAATCAGCTGCTCAGCTCTAATCCACTCACAAGAGTTCGGTCACTCATTGCCAGCTCACATGCGTGCACACACACACACACACACACACACACACACACACACACACACACACAAACACACACACACACACACACACACACACACACACACACACACACACACACACACACACACACACACACACACACACACACACACACACACACACACACACACACACACACACACACACACACACACACACACACACAGAGAGACACACTCTTAAGCTGTAATTGACACTCTGTTCAGCTCAGACTGTATGAATGCATACAGGTTTTGTTGGTAACAGATGTCCTCATTCTGTTTGCACAGACAGTTAAGTCCTTGTGAGGGAAATAGCTTTATAAATATACCAAGCTATGTGTAAATTCAAATATAGTGTACTGTATGTATAATAGTAAGGTTACAGAATAATAGTAGAGACAGAATATATATATATATATATATATCTTTGTAAAAACGAAACAGGTGTGTTTATGAATGTGTGTGCGTGTAAGAGAGAGAGAGAGCAGCTCAGTGTCATCAGGATTCAGGTTGTTGACAGTGCTGATCGGAGATGTACCGAGACAGATAAGCTGAGAGAAACAGACAGTGACATCTCGCAAACTCACACACGCTCACTGTGATAACACACACTCACACAATCTATTTGACATGCAGTCTTGCAGTTCTCTTTATATTGTACTGAACTTAAAGCACTTTAAATGATCAAAAAGGCCAGCAAAACATGTATAAAGTTATTTAAAAAAATAGAAAAAATAATCATGATCATAAATGTAAAATGGAGAATATTAGGCAGCGCAACTCAACTGCATCGTAAATCTTGAGAGACTGGAAATTCTAAGACATTTTAGTCCACTTATAAACTTGGGCAGCATCCAAAACTCGCAAACTTCCATACTATAGTATGTTAAAAACAGTATGTGAGCTGAGTAGTATGTCTGAATTCATAGTATTGCAAAAACAGTATGCGAGAAGTACCCGGATGACCTACTACTTCCAGCGAGATTCTGTAGTGCGCATT